TGCATTAAAGACACGTTGAAAACTTACACGTATGCTGTTTCCCATCCTTCTCGCTCACAAACTCACCTTCACTTCCAAAATCCTCAGGACACGAGGCACACCAGGCTTGAGCCACTTGCAGACAAATTGATGGCAGAGCGACGGGTACTGAGGATGGGCTTTCGAAAGAGCACTCAGCACGAAGTCGGTAGCGCCGGTGGTTCCACCCCGGAAGATCTGCTCGACGTGGGACTGCGTTCCCGCCATTCCCTTTCCCAGGGCACTAGCGTGTGCCTTGTGACGTTTGGTGGAGACGTCAGACTCCTTGGGGTGTCGCCAAAAAGAGGATGAGCCCATGCGGCGGCGGGGGGAGCGTGCTCATGTAAACGCATGCGCTAGTCGGGTTTTCGGGGGTCTCAGGCTACGTTTCACAAGAACGAACCAACCGCTGGTCATCATCCTTGCTATGCCAAACCAGATATGCCATGGTGTAATTGGGCATATCCCGGCTACCCAAACCTTTCGAATTCGGCAGGCACCACCTACTACAAGGGACTTCGAATACGGTGGGGGGCGCAGGGGGACTTCAGCAAATGCTCACAAGACATGTTTTGGGTCTCTGCCTGCGCACATATATATGGCAGGGGCACACATACATAATGCTCATGCACTTAATAGAACGGCTGGTTTCCGGTAAGGAGACGACCCAATGACCTTCTCTCCATGCGAAAGTACGCACTCCGACAGGTTTTCTTCGATCCGGCCGCCAACCACACCGCTCACTTGAAACGCAGTAACAGCAGTATCGGCATGATACAAAGAGCTCTTCAAAGAGCCCATGTTAGTCAGCACTTACGAGACTGGTGGCGGGATCATGAGAACCGTTCTGAGAACAGCTCGCTCGCTTGCGCTTGGAAGCCCCCATGCCATCACCCGAGTGTATCGACTGCCCTTTGGCACGAGCCTCTTTGGCGTGACTCTTCGAGCAGAAGTCGTGCATCAAATTCTTGGCTGAATCAAAGAAACGTGGTCTCGAGCACCCATGCAGCTTGCGAGCGGAAAAAACAAGCAGAACAAACAACGCGCATATAGCGCATTACGATATTAACTATATCAGGGGGTTGCGTTGATATTGAACCATACAAAGAGACTTGTCGAAACATGCTTGCACTACTCTATGCGCACTCTTCTTGTAGTCAACGAAACTATCAGGGGTAGAATCACATTGCGGTCGTGAGGATCTTTAAGCAGCCCTAGAAACGTTGTGCTTCTCTACTCTGACCATTGATCAGTGGCAGGCGTTCAGGAGGCTTCGGGAAACTTTTATGCACTACACGGAAGCCAACTCATCAATATATACTGACTACACCAGTTGCTCGATGAAAGAGACCTCAGCCGACATCTTGCTTTATTCTGGTCGTGCCAATGTGAAAACTGGAAGGCGGTCGTCTCTACTCTACGCGTTCTCAGTCGGTAGAACGTTGTTTGGAATCAGGTTCATTCAACCAGCGGAAGATTGAGGTTGGGCTTGGCGTCTTCGCGAATCAGTGACCCCCATGAAACGTAGCGCTTACTTGGCGCCATGTCTTTTCGAGCAATGTTTGATATTCACAGCGCTTTCGGGGCACGGAACGAAAACCGCCGCTCAACCTTGCAGTCAGAAAGCTGCAACCGGCGCATAGCAGACTCCCACGGCAGGATGGGACGAGAGTACCCACTGGTTTTTGTGTGTATGTTCGCAACCGCAATATCGACTGCCGCCAGCGTAACATTGCACCCAGCAACAGCGACGAGGAGAGAGTCACACAACCGTTTCGAGTAAGGACCAACCAAGACATCCGAGTTGTTGGTGTTTCCTTTGTCTTCATGTTCGTGATCCTGCAAAACCACCTAAAATAACGTGGATGCTGCCCTGGCACATCCCTGCATCTATTCTTCTTCGAAGCATCTTGACGGCATACTGCAGCCTTCGCATATATATCGCTGAAACAACGGCATCATCATCAATTGCCTTCAGACAACGAACACATCGATTGCACGACGATAGTCCGTTATTAAGTATCCTCGTCCTATCTGAGCGGCGAACCTGTACAGTTGTTTCTTTGCCGCCAGCGACGACACCTCTGCTGTGGGGCTTCCTTTCCTTCAACAGCATATTCGGTATTCAACGGCGCCACGTCACACAGACCGTTCGAGCACATCGACTTTTGGAATTTATCAACTTGTTCACAGATGTTATCCCCATGAACCGTATTCACCACGACTACACGCAACGTGCTCAACGGGGGGGGGATATACACCGAAGGAATTGCGTTGGTAGACAAAGGGTGACAGGGTCGCAAGCATGAGACCCTCCTCTGCGTACAAGAAGAATGTGACTTGTTTTCGCGTGCTTCTCGCCCTCGTACCCCTATCAGTTCCGGTACATGAAAAATCCAGGTCTGTCCTCGGCGCTCTACAACACGTTTCGTTCTCATACAACAGTTACCGCTACCAAATGCTTGCTCTTACTGTTAACACGCCCAAGTCGTTCCCGTGGCTTCTCGTTGCCGCGGATAACATTACCGCCAGAACTACAGACTCCCGTGATACGTCGCTTCCCAGCGTGCCTCAGTAGCCCGGGGTTGATGCACGTTGCGTCTGTGCCAAAGGCAATTTCAACTCCAAATCATGTTATAGCTTTTCTTCCAATGAACTTGATTTGAAAGCTTCGATTTGCTTTTTTTTCGTTGCGCTGGGGATTTTTGCTTTGGCTACGAGATCTCTTTGGCCGGGGGAGGCCGTGACTTCAGATTTTCGCGCTCTCCCACTGATTGCCTGTACCATCTCCTGGTCAAGGGATTGACATTGCTGAGTGTACCTCTGGACACGCGTCACCGTTGTGAGACACACTCGTAGCATGGCAAGTACATTACTGTAGGTGGGTTCAACATTATCTCCCACACTATTGACAGTTTTGTTAAACCGCCCGTGGGCCACCCATGGGTCGTCCATGGGCACTTGAACCTAGAACTTCGCCACCGGCGTATCAACCTAGAACTTCCCCACCGGCATATCAACCTAGAACTTAGCCACTGGCATATCAACCCAGCACGTATCGTGTGGGGTTGGGGCTAGGGTTACGGTTAACGTTAGGGTTATTATTAGCCGCTATAGTGCCCGTCCCAAAGCAGTTATTCTATTGTTAAGGAGTATACTGGTTTGGTTCAAGGGCTCTCATGGGCCGCCCATGGGCCGCCCATGGGCTGTCCGCGGACTACCCATGAGCACGCTCATGGGCATGCCCATGGGCCTAACAGGGTGCCCATGGGCGGCCCATGGGTCACCCGTGGGTCACCCATGGGAGTCCCATAGGTCGTTTGAGAAACTGTAGAAAGTGTAGGAGACGTTGAACACGGGGCGGGGCAAGCATTAATTCGTTGACCGGAAAAAAAAATAGGTCACTTTCTATCATTTAGAAAGGCAAGAATGCCAACATCAGCAGCAAGTGTCCACTAGTGTAGTGATATAGTGATATGGCAATGAGAAGTAGCAGCAGCGCGGACGATCCGGATTCAAGATTGCATGATGCTCCACTTATCTATGTGACAGGAACACAATATTGTCTTGAATTGATACCCTCGAAACTTCCCGACAAATATTTTTGCTGCAATCACTAGACTTTCACCCGCTACACGCGCTGTTCGATGGAAGAGGAGACCGCAGCCGATATGTTGCTTCGTTTTGCTCGTACCAACACCGAAACTGGTCGAAGTTGTTCGTATTGTATGACGTTTGAAATAAGTTCAATCAATCAATCAGCCAACAGCAGTGCGCCAGTTTCTTCCCAGAATTTCGAATCGACTTTTCGTCGCCCACACAACTTGCACAGGTTGCACTGATCACAAAGTACCGACTCCTACTACAACTGGCTTCGATATCCCGTAGTATATCCTGTAAGGGTCTCACCTGACAAGTGGGCCCGGTTTGGGAGCGCCGACCGTCGATGAGTCCGCTGGACGCTGCTTGTGTAGCATGAGTACGCCCACAGAATTCGTAGACAACGCGCCCATCATCGTAGCAAGGCCGTGTACACCCTGGGAGGCCGCACAACACGGGTTTACTCTCCTTGGCGCCCATCCCGAGGACCGCAGCCTGCGGTCTCGACGCAGGTGTTCCCTCTCTTCGGCGCAATGCGCGATTGCACACGATACGCAAGTGCTCGGAGACAAAATAGATATGCCGACGGGACCGTTGATGCCGGCCAATCAAAACTCACGATAGTTTTGATAGATTTGATTTATGCCGACGGGACCGTTGCTTTCGGCCAATCATGAATTCGTTGTCGGTTTGATGCTAATGATGTCGCGGAATCGCGGAATCGCGGATATTCCTCTTGCGTGCTTCTCCGCAGACGCGGGAAATATAATGTCTGCGGGCACTGCCAAGGCACTGCCAATGAGCGGATTCAGCAACCGATTGTCGTCTACTGCCCCCCAAACTACAGTAGACCGTTGTCGAGATAGACTTCTGACCCACCTTGTTGATCAGTAAGGAACCGCGGCCGAGGGTTCGGCCTCTCTACCTTCCGACTCGGCGTGTTCGTGTCCGATATCAGCGCAAACCAGGTCCGAGACGAGACTCCAACAGCAGAGACTCTAACAGCAGTAGATAGACATGGCAAACTGGTGAGAATACTAACCCCATCAGTTCGCACCCACTTGTGTGCCGATGAAAGGGTGGGAAAAGGACTTTGCTTGCGTTGTTGTTCTGGCTCGAACTCATTCCTCCGCTTCGTTTCGAAATCAAGTCAAAGGCGAAAAACATGCTTCAGCAGTACTGATAGGACTCGGTTGAAAATTCGGACACAAACGACCTCCATACTCAACGACGCTATGTAGCACTACTGCTGTTGGCCATTTTCCAAACGTACATCGCTGCTAGGTCATACAGAGCACCTCTATACGACGTGCGCTGTTCGACACTCACTCATCACGCGAAGAATGAGGCCGTTTTCTGCCGACTAGCGTATGAGGAAGTCTGCATTCCGTGACCATCACGCATCACTCATCACACAGGACGAGATGACGAGTTCGTAAGTTCGTACACGAAACGCCACATTTCGTCGACAGCAGTGGAACCAAAAAAATATGATCAACCATCAACGGTGTACTGCTTGCTGTACCTATACTGACTGTTGTTTGCTGACTGCACACCACACAGGAAACAGCATCAACGCACACAAACGGCATCCCATCAACAGCAGTACCCATCATTCATATGATGCTCCCTCCTCGCACCGATGGACGATGTTCGGGTGCATGTCGTCAAAAATAAGTACATTTTGTTCCTGATGTTGATTCTGTAGACAGTAAGTACACAGTGTAGCTCCTGGCCTCGAAGTCGCAGTTCGGAACTTGCTCTGTCGGCTTGCCCTGTTGCAGGTTCTAGCTTATGAGCACCCAATACGGACGTATTTCCCTGGTATTGAAAACTCTCACAACCAGCCGGAAAACACAGGAGGGATAACAGCAGTAGTGGAGGAAGCCAAAGAAAGCACTGACAGAGAGCAAAAGGAACGCCTTCGACATAAAGGAAAGCTGGTGGAAGCAAAACGCGCATTGAAAAAAGGTCACTAGGAATCTTGGAAGCCAAGCGAGGTCGGGAATTCATGACACCACTGCTTGCACTAGATAGAGCGATGCTCACGAATCGCAGCGGAGATGCGCATGCCCTGGTTCCTCGTCCCTCCTTCGTACAAAACTCAAAAACAGTTGCAAACATGGTCGTCAAGCACGACGAAAAACAGCAGCGAAAAACACAAAACCGCGGAGCAAAGGCCATCCCTGATGACCATCAGCAAAGGCCCTCGACTTTCTTAGCCTCCTCCAGGAGATCCATGAAGTCAACGAGGGTGCGCAAGATGTGAGCCGACTGTGCCTCGTCGTCCCCTTCCCCGAAGAACTCGCCGAGCCCCTTGCAGAGGCCGATGCACGCCCTCGCCCTCTGCTCGATGGACGACAGCCGGGCCTCGGCCTCCTCCACGAAGGCCGCCAGCTTGCGGACGCCGGCGGAGCTGCCACCCTCGATCTCCCCTTCCCTTGACAGGGAGGACGAAGACGAACCCCTTGCCGCCGGGGACAAAGAAGAAGAACAAGACCTCTCCGAGACGTCAGACGGCCTGCTCGCCGCTGCCTTAGCGGCACCGCCGCCGGCAGCCGAAGCTCCTACTCCCTTGGTCTCCTCCTTCTTCTTCTCTTCCTCAACGAGGGTGCGGTCGAGCTCCTCCTTGGCCTGCCTCAGCCCCTTCCTGGCCTGCCTCACGTCTATCATGATCTCCCCCACCGGAGTCTTGGACGCCTGTCTCACGTGCTTCAGCTCGGACTCGAGGTCGAGCGCCTCGACCCGCGTTAGCTGCACCGCCGCCGCCGGGCTACCCCGCCGCTTGCCGCCGGCACGAAGAAGATAACCACTGTTCGCTCGAACCGCCGACCCCCCCCGAGCGGGCGTCACCGCGCCCCGCTGGGACGCCCCCGCCCCGGGAGACGCCGCACCCGACGACGTCCCCGACACCTCTCGCCTCACCCCAGAAGCTCTTGTCCCACCACCGCTCATACCGCTGCCGCGACACCCCGGCGGTGCTCCGCCAGGCCACGCGGCACTGCGCTGCTTCTCCGCGGACGAACGCGGAGGAGTTTTTGATTTCAGGGTCTTGCCGGACGCGGGTGGAGAAGCGGCGGCGGCGGCGGCCCGTTCCTTGGCGGCGAAGGTCCTTACCATGTAGTGCAGCACCGTGGTCTTCTTGTCCGAGTGGGACTTGGTGTGGCTGAGCTTGAGGAGCGACGAGATGCGGAAGCCGCAGGCGTTGCCCTGGTACGTACCTGCAGATCACGAAACAAACACAACAACAAAAATGCGAGTTACAAAACAAAAAGGATCGTAGGCGGAAAGCCTTGCGTTTGGCGGTCCACGATAACACGAAGAGGTGCAGAAGGGACAAAGGGCGACGAAAAAGCCCTGTTCTTCGCCCGGTGAAAGAGCAGGGAAGACGCGGGCATAATACCGATTCTAAAGGAACTCCCAAAGGCTGATACGTTCATCCTGAGATGGACGAATGTATCACCACGACGCACGAGTCAAATGCGCACCCATTAGCCCACACCGGGCCAGCGTTGTAGTTGGACAGCACGCAGGGATGCGTCGTAAGTTTAATGCTGTCTTCAGCTATGCTCAAATAGCGGAAACTGGAGTTATCCCTCGCTAGGGGGTCTACAGACAAGAACAGCAGCAATCGCCACAACACTTGAGAAACGTGGTGGTTTCACGGCAGCGATGGAAAGCTAGGCCCCAAGGCCAGACAGAATTGTTTCGCCTTCCGTCATCTCTCGGTGCATACCTTCGTTCAAGAGGTTTCCGATGTCGAGCACCTTCTCCAACACTGCAGCAAGCCGGTCGCTCTCCATTGCCTCCTCGCAGGCCTTTGGGCAACACAAACGCAAAGGGTGGGTGTCGGGGTTCCATTGAGCACGACGGTCAGACACCCGAGAAATGCCATCCTCGTCAGGACAATGCAATGCACGTTTGCGGCGGAAACATACGTTGCTACTACTACCACGCACGCACGAAATGTCCTGGCCGGGTCTCGCAACAAGCCAACGCCAGCACCAATTCCATCGAGGGATGGGGCAAGCGGCCCGGGGAGGGAGAACCCCTGCTACAGACCAAACTTTCGGCACGTAAATATCACGAAATCTCCGAAAAACCACCCCTGGGCTACCACGCACCCTCCCTCAGTCCCCGAATTTCAACGACGTTCATCACACCCCCAGACTAAACAACACACACGCAAACAGCAGCAAAAACACTTCGTTGATCTCCCGACCACACGCCCCCCCGACGTACCATCCTCAGCGTTTCCACCCTCGATTCCGCGTCTCCCGCCACGGACCCCAAGAACTGCCTCGAGAACAGCACGGCCGAAACCTTGGAGGCTGGCCGGGGGGTGTCCCTGAGCGCGCGGAAGAAGGTCTCTGCGGACCCCAGCGCGGCCGCCGGGCCCGAAAAGGCCATCACTGTCCTCAGCTCCTGCGCCGTGGGGAGGCACCCCTCCAGCCTTTGCAAATCTTCGGTCGTCAAGACCTCTGCTTTGTTGAAGACGCGGATGAAAAAACATTTTGTGTTGTCGTTTGGTTTGTTGGTTGGGTTCGAAATTGTAAAAGCGTCCCTCGGCCGGGGTGGTGGGATGTTGCTGTACGGGACGGTAGGGGGGAGTATTTTGCGATTGGGCGCATATGTCAGCGACAGAATAGAGCAAATGCCTGTTTTGCGTTTCTTGAGCCAGGATGCGGCATATGCCTCTCTCCCTTCGGACGGGAAAGCGTTGAGATGCAGCGGTCTGTAAGCCACGCCGAGCATCGCAATAGAACGGCGGTGGCATCCAAAAGACAGCACCAGGTAGAATCCTCCTCTAAAATAGGCCACGATACACGTTCGAAGCCTTAACTGTAATGGGCTGGAGGCGAAAGAGATGTCACCCCTGTAACGAACCAACCAAACACGATACCCCCTAGTGCCACACAGACGGTACGGTAATGGAGCTCACTCCTGGAACGGATGAACCTTACACGAAACACACGAAGGACTCTTTCTCACCCTTCGGGTCCAGGCCCGACACAAGTCTCGCGAGCTCCGACACGTCCCCGACCCTGCGGAAAGCCTTCAGGCCGATGGCCACGTTGTTCCCGCGGTTCACGTCCAGCAGGCTCACTTTTTTCACCCTACCCCCTGCACCGCCCCCGCCGCCGCGCCCCACCCCACCCCCACGGCCACCGCCTGAGGAGCCACCGAGACCCTTCCCCTCAACGGCGGCACCGCCCAGGCCTGGCCCGCCCGTCCCTGCCCCTAGCGTAACCCGACGCCCTCCCTGCCCTGCGGCGGCGGCAGACGCCGCCGCCTTTGCCGTTTTCTTGGAAAACAGTTTCTCCAGCTCTTCAACCTCCGCGTCGTCTACGCTCAGCGTCGTCCGCGGCGACCCGCACGCCTCTCTTCCTCCGCCGACCATGGCAGCTGCCGCCGCCGCCGCCGTCCTCCTCTTCGCCCAGACCGTGCGCTCGATCTTCGCGGGGGGAAGCACGTCCCAGTGAAAGTTTAGCAGGGGTTTCGATGTGCGTCTCAGCGTGGGCGTGGGGGCGGGGGGTGGCACCGACCCCCCGGCCCGCCCTCCGAAAAACCCTCCGCCTTCGCTGCGGCAGCTGCTGATTGAATCGAGCGGGCTGCAGGGAGGCCCCGACCTCGGCCGTAGCCCCGGGCCCAGGAGCGACTTGTCGCTGCACCCACGACCCAAGGCAACGGGCAGAGGGGGCGGGACGGTGAGCATTCCGGGCATGGGCGGCGGCGGCGGCGGGATTTTGCTCGAGAGAGGTAGGGGTGGGGGCGGGGGTATTCCACCGGGGGAAGGCGTGGTCGCGTTGGCAACTGTGGCAGCAGCAGCAGCAGGCGGGGTCTTCGGCACGGCCGGTGATGGTTGCGCTGCCGCCGATCCCAGTGCTGCTGCCGAGCCAGCACGCGCCGGTGGTGGCGGCATCGCTGCCGCAGGGATGGCCGAAGACGAAGCAGGGTCGAGGACAAGGCCGACGTAGGAAGCCATGTCGTCCATCGTCATCTTCTGGCGGATAGCACCGTCTGGTAGCCCAGCCTGGATAGGACACATGCGAGGGGGGCGGGATTGGGGCAACGTTGCGGGAACCTGATATATATTTCAAATATGGACGGCAGTCATCGGGATATGATTTGATATTTAACGAAGGACGCCGAATCAAACGCGTTGATCGGGTCCCGGCTAGAATCTTGTTCGAGACAAAAGGCTTTCTCTATGGTGGGGCGCAGGCCATGGGGTGATGTGTGGGTGCCGTAAAAATACAAAAAATTCACTAGCTTAGGCAGCACCACGGGCAAAACCGAAGCAACAGCTGAGTTTTAGAGGGCATTCCGCAACCGTGGCTCGGATGCACCAACCCAACCATAATCCTCCAGCGGGGTAACAAGCGCGTTTCGACCCGGTTGAAGCAATTGCAAGACGGAGTAACAGTGCACCGCGCGTGAGCACAAAGCCGGCCATCATCCGCAGGAGGCGGAAAGATGGCACCCCTCCTAGACCGATTTTCAAATTTCGGTTCAACCAAGCTCGTGCCAAGTTGTTTCGGAGACATCTTGTCGAGGGCTTTCCGTCGACGTATCGGTCTCTTTCTGCACTCACAACCGAGCTTTGAAATTCGGCCTAGGGGAGGGTGCCACCTCTCCGCCCCTTGCGCTACTCCAAGCCCAAGGGCTCACCACCTACCTTCTTCATGTTCTTGTACTTCGACAGGCTTGGCTGCTTCGACCCCGCCGTTTCAACCTCGGGGGCCGCAGCACCATCCGGCAGCTTGGAGGGAGGCATCTGCAAGGGCGAGGGGTCAAAACCTCTTGTATTGAGACCGCCGCAGCCGCTGCGGCAAGGGCTCTGGGAGACGCTCCGCCGGCGCAGCTCTCGCCGCCGCATCAGGCTCGCCTTGCTCGACTTGCGCCTCTGCTCGAGGTCTTCCTTGAGGCCCCGCTCGTGCTGCTCGTGCCTCTCCTTGAGCTGGTCCCGCAACACCTGTTTCATTTTTATTTTTGTGTGTGCGTGCGTGTGCGTCTTTGTGTTGTTGGCATCAACCGCGTTACCCGGCTGAACACTGAAAGGACGTCAATATCGGTGCCGGAAATAAACGGGAATTGCTTGTGTACGTGTGTGTGTGTGTGTTGCTAGCATCGAACACGCTACCCGGCTGACCAATCAAAATACGTCAGTCTCAGTTTTGGTGCGGCGAAAAAACGGAGAACAATTGTGTGGCTGTATGTGCTTGCACGACAAGACAGTACCGCAAGTTTGGGCCACCAGCACCTAGCACCGGAATCGAGCACATACGACGTTTTGGTTGGGGGGCTAAAACACAGCAGTGACTTGTACAACCTACCACCCTGGCAGTCAATCGTTGAGAAAATCATGTGCGACTGCACGAGAAACAGGCACGTTGAGAGAACCTCTTACACATCAAGCAGCATAAAAAAACACGGAAGCTATTGACGCGAACCACGGGCAAACGAAGGGCCATGAGGTTGTTCCGAGGCCGTGGACATCGAAAACGATGAGCCAACGACCCCTGAATCCGCAGCAACATTCGTATTCCTACCCAACGATCACACGCAAAATTGATCACATTTGGAACCCAGCAAGGGAACTGGGAAAAGGAAAAAAAAACATGGTTAAACTCCGTGCGTCGCACGGTACGTTGAGCGGCAAACAAGCCGGCGGGATATGATCTACATATACATATACCATGGGGAAGAAGACAGTACCAATGTACCTTTGCCGGTGATTCCAAGATAATCACTCCCCTCTTCACTCCGCTAAACGGCGACGATGCAACGCTACCCGCCTCGCTCTTCGACCCCGGCGGCGAGAGCACGACCGAGGCCTCGCGCCGGGGAGGCGGCGGCGATGACGGAGAAACAACCCCGCCCCCCGCACCCCCGCCGGAGCCGCCGGCAGCGAATCCCTCTCGTAGCTCCCGAAGGGGTGTGACGGCGCCCAGACTGCTGCTGTTGTTGTCGCCAGCACCGTTGTCGTCATGGCCTCCTCCTCCTTCTCCTCCCGCTTTTCCCCAGCAGGCGTCGCCGGTGCCGCCGGAATCGCCCACCCTCGAGGGAGTACTGTCGCCAAGAACCGCAGAGTCCATCGCGAGGGGTTTTTCCTTTCCCGCCGCGCCGCTAGCCGAGGACGACGAGGAGGCGGGAGAAGACGAGGGAGGGGAGGAAGAAGGCTGCCAGCGGAGTTGGATGGACCGAAGCAGCTCCAGGCAGTCGGACGGGTTCGTGAGGCAGAAGCTGCGCCGGCCGGGCTTGTTGGTGGTGCTGGCGGCCTTGCTGCCCGTGCCGCTCGCTTCGGTCTTTGGCCTGCCGACGGCGGCGGATCAAGGCGGAGGAGGGGGCGTCACGCGCGAAAAAAAAAATCACAGCACAAAAAAGAGGGCAAGCGTTAACATTGCGTCACCGTGTGTCCCAGAAACTTCGTAATGCATGGCCGTAGGTAACGATTAAGAGCGTTCCAGCGGGTTCGCGCCAAAGGGGGCGAACTGTGTAGTAACAGAAACCAGCAAGCAACAGAAGAAAAAATGTGCGGATCGCGATCCTCTCTGGCCCCTTTCTTTGCGTCTTGTCTGGCAGACCTCTTGCAAGCGAGAGTATTTCGACAGAAACGGCCAATCACGAACCAGGTCTGCTGTACTGTACCCCCCCAATGCCGGGTATCCTCGACGGCACTTTCTTTTGTGCCTGAAAAGCCGATCCCGTATTTCACGAGCTGTACCCTCCATGCAAATGATGCCGGCATAAACGCGAGCGTGGGTAAACGTTAACCTTAACCCCACCCCGACATCTCGGAACAGAATCGCCACAACCCGAGAACAGGACGTTTCACCATCCTTACAGGTGGTTGTTGGACTAACACGATAGCACAGCACACCCAAGGGCACTATGTGTAGTCTCTTATTTTCGTGTCCCCAGACCGTGGCCACAGGCTGCAAATGGCCGAAAACAGCATGCCTGTGTAGAAGCATGCATTCACGGGGACTAGTCTTTGGCAATGCTCCAAGCGGATCGCGCGTGCCGCTGCCGTAGTTCAGACTACGCAACAAACAAAAACACGAAGGAAAAAACGTTCTCTTCCGTCTGCGTGTTTTCGTGCCTGCACACCTTCCTGCCTCACCAAGAGAGAACACAACGCGAACGCAACCAAAGAAGAAGAAATAAAAAAACTCGCCTGGTCGTGACCTCGACAACCACGTCCCCGACGGCGTGCTCCGACTCCTTTCCGGCAGAGACGTTAATGCTGCAGCTCTCCAGCTCCGTATACCTGAGCACCCACGTCACCAAGCCGCTGCTTCCAGCGCCGCCACCGCCACCGTTGCCGCCGTCGATACCACTGCCGCTCTCGGCGCCGCTGCTGCTGCCATCCGGAAGAACGCTGAGCATCCTCTCGCGCCCGAGCACAACGATCGAGCCGTCCTTGCACCGGTACGCGCGGGGGTTGTTGCCCCCCTTGGCCCTGTCCAGCCCTCGCAGATCGATGCGAGAGCCCTCGGTGACAACCGCCGCCGGCCGGCGGGGGGCGGCCCCGGTGCCCGCTCTCTCTCCTCCCACGCCCGCTGCCGCTGCCGGCTTGGCAACAGCGCGACAACGGTGTGTACTACTACCCGTTTCACCGCCGCCGCCGCCGCCGCCGCCACCGCCGCCGAACGGCAGGACATTCTTGAAGGATAGGCCGCGGCGTGGCGGCGACTTGCTCAGCGACAGCCTACGGAGCAGCCCGCCGCCCATGCCACACTCTTGCAACGGTGAGGCGGACGGGGAACAGGACCTTAAGGGTGCCGTCGTAGCCGCAGCCGGTTCTACCGCTGCCGACGGCAACTCGCACCCGCTCCTGCTGCCACCGCTGCCGCCATCCTTGGGCGGCGTCGCGTCCAGCTTGACGGCGCCCAGCCTGCCCCTCTGCGCCCCCCTGCCGCGCTTTCGCACGCCCGCCGCTCGCGCGTCGCCGCCGCCGCCGCCGCCGGCCACCGCCGCACGGCTACTCCTCCCTCTCGACGGCGAAGAGGGGGGCGTCGAGCGAGGAGGGGAATTGCCGTCAATCGTCCGTAGAGCTCCCCCTCCTCCGTTTCCAGCGCCCACCCTGTCGTCGGCGACGCCTGGTTGGCGGGGCCGGGCGGAGCCGAAAGCCCCCGGCATGCGGAAGGCCAGGGCGTTGTCGAGGAGCTCGTGGCCGCGCCTGGTGTTCTCCCGCGAGGGCTGGATGTGGGGGGGGTTGGTCGGCAGGAACGGGGCCGCCATGCGCGTCACGGCCTCCCACGGGCGCACGACCACCTGCAGCGTGGGGGTGTAGCAAGGGTACGTATCATATGAAGGATTGCGGGTGTCACAGGAAAAATGGAGGAACGGCGGTGTTGTTGCGTGTTTACGTTCTATAAGACGTAGTCTCAGCAAGTGCGTGCCTTGTGTTATCGGTAACACTGATTTTGGAAGTATCCAAGCATTTGCTTGATTTCAGTGTTTCGAGGGTCCTTGCGACAAGAACGAGATGCAGCAGCTGAGCAAACGCGCGGGAATCGTTGCGGCCGGCTGGTCCGGACGTTCGGTGTTGGATAAAACTGCTGCTGCCGCTTTCGCCCTCGTACGTAAGTTGACTGCTGCTGTACCTTATCCCTCATTATTTACCTACCCGCCTACACTTCGCGCACTCAATACACTCATGGCGGGAAGGAATTAATCGACAGCAGCCACCAACCAAGAGCCACTGAGACCAAACCTGCGAGTGCACCCATGAAAAGATGGAGAAAAGTCCAATGAACAGCCGGGAACACGGCTGAATACGCTGCTGCCGCGTGCTGCTATCCACGCTCTCATCATGTTGCACAGCAGCAGTAGGTAGCACCGCTGCGCCTTGCCGCGTGTGGCTCTATATCCAACTTTTTTCCTGTGTCTCGCTCATGAACGGGGCGGGCCACATCAAAACGAACCTGATAAGTGTTCGCGACGACGCTCTTGGCGGACTGCGCCAGCTGCACCCCGTCCGACCTCATCCCGTCCATCAAGGTAGCCATGAACACGCCAAGATCCTCGGTGGGGATGTACACCTCCTTGTCGTCGTCGTCGCCGTCGTCCTCCCACATGGTGCCGCCGCCACTGGTCTGCTCGTGTGCAGGCCCAGCTACACCAACACCACCACTGTTGACACCACTGCTACCATCATCATCACCGCCGGGGTGACCATCCTGCTGGCGAGCAGGAGGAGTAGCGCGGGCGGCGAGCGCCTCGCTACTGGTGCTGCTGCTGGGTTTGTTCTGGAAAGAAGGTGCTACGCTTTTGACTGCTGCGTGCGGCAGGTCATTGAGCACCACTCCGCACGGGATGTCGATGGTGCTGCTCACGGACTCCCACCGTCGATGCGCCTCCGCTTTGCGCCCTCTCCTGTTGCAGGCTGCCATGAGAGGCGCTCTGCTGGCTGCTGGGTCGCCTGCTGCTGGGCTGGCTGCGATTGTCTGACTATTTCCTCTCCCCCCGGAAAACAGCGAAAAAGAGCGCAAAAGTGACCGTTGGGTATTTTCTGTTCATGAGGCCCCCATGACAGTATTTTGCTGGGGTAGGTGCCGTATCCTATCCGTGAGCGCCCTCGTCTCTCACCTCTCACGGACCTCCGCACCGCCTGCCTGGCTCAGTGCTTCTCTCTGCCACGTACACCACAAGAGATTGCGCTTCAGCCGCTTTCGAGAAGTGCACATTGCTAGCACACTTGAAACCCTCCATCTTCCTGTGCCTCCGAGAGCTGGTGGGACCAGACGCCGTGAATCGTCTGTTTGTGTGTGAGCACATATTTTTTCATCCTTTTCGAGCAGGGCACAACTGCCGCGATCAGCAGCAGCTAATAAGCTGTAACCACCATGGCACCAGCACCGAGGGCCTTCAAGATCTATCGTGGTGAGAAAGGCTGAGCAGTCGTGAGCAATGTAAGGTCCACGCCATCTTCTTTGAGGAAGTTTACAAGAGTCTCAACTGGTGCGTAGGCTACTCCCTCGCGTGCCTGGTCTTTTTCAAAAAGGGGGCCATAATCGATTGTGACTCCTGCTTGCTTTGAGCGATGCTACATCACCGGATCACCCGGTTGACGTGTGTCATGCCCAGTCTCCCAACCGCCACACCGGGGCCGCTCGCTTTGCCTGGATCTCGACCTAACGCGCTTTTATCTCTAGACCTCCACCTACGCTAAACGCAACAATGATCTTTGTGCGCGCTGCTGTGCAACCAACCGCTGCTGCTGTCATTTTTGAAATCCGACCGGTGCCGATGATTTTCAAAACACGGCAGATCAAACGCCTTCGGAACTTTCATGACGCAACCCCTTTTTTCGCTGGGCCACGGGTGTAGACTACCCATGATTAACGCACACGAGCAGCACGTGAGACTGCTTGCACGTACGTGCCGCGATGGACGCCTGCTGGCCGCCATTCCCATTTCTCGGCAACCAACGCCTGAGGCCATCGATGGCACATGCTGCCGGCTTCCCGAAAAAAAAAGCGGGGTTGGGAAGTTTGAAAATTGAAATTCTCTACATGGAGAATGCGGGGAAGTGCATGTGCACGTTTCGATTTCTTGGTCTCTACGCACACGCTTGGCCACCGTTCCGGCCACGCGTCACTTGTTCGTTGAAGAGGACGACCGACGGCAACAGCAGTGGCAGCGGGAGTTGCCGCACCCTCAAATGAAAAGCTGCCTCGCACACTTTTTCGGTTCTGGTGACGTTCTTTCCAGTTTTTTTGCGGCCAACGCCACGCGCTCTCCCTTCCTATGGCACTACTTCGTTGCAAGTTGCAAAGCATTTTAATCCGGCCGCCGGGGAGGTCAAAGGCAGCAGGCTACCACTCCCACACGTGATTGGTAAAATCTGGTTTAGCCACGATTGCGCTTAGCATCCGTACTGTTGCACCCACGCATTTCGTCGGTGATAGACAGACGCGCCGGGCGGACCTCCCACGTTTAGCAACCTTGGGATCAAAGAATCCGAATTTCAAATTTGAAACTTGTCAGATCCACAAAGCAGTCGCTACACCCCGGGCTAGTGTTCACCGCCCACTGCTGCCCCCCGCGGCCTGATTGTGTATGTCGTCGCTCCTTCTTATCCTACCTCCCCCCCCCTCTGCCATCTGCTGTTGTGCTGAAATCGCAGATGCTGCAATTGAGACGATCCATACTACTCCCGCCGTAAACAAAGCAGCGGCGGCGGCTCCCTGTTCTTCACCCATGTCTCTGAGGCCATTGGCCAGTTCTACGACAACGACAACGTCGGCTGCGCGCGCCACCGCCGCTGCCACAGTTTCTGCCCCCGCGCGCTTGCCACCCAGGAAACGCAGCAGGCAGCAGCAGCAGCAGCAGTCGCGGCCGTTGGAATCGTTGCCGAGCCGGAGTGGTGGCAGCAGCCCCGCAGGCGGCGGCAGCAGCAGCAGCAGCAGCAATACGAGCGGTTGGTGGGACGTGTCGAACAAGGAGAACATCGATCCTAGAACCGGGAAGCAGCACCAGCAGCGGCAGCAGCAGCAGCAACAGAGAGTTTCGCCCTTCTCCTGCCCTTCGCTGCCAGTAGGCGCCTCCTCCGGTTGCTCCGCGGCGCATCCGCGCTGCTTCGGCAGCAGCACCTCCAAGAAACGCCCCTTGTGCGGCGGTGGGCGGTGCTGCGCGAGTGCTGTTGACAACGGCGGTGGTGGTGCTGGGAAGCCGACGGCATTGTCGTCGCGTAAGCCGTCTAGGGAGCCGCTGAGGGAGCTCTGGAACAGGAGCAGCTGCGGCGGAAACTTATCCTTTCCCGTTTACCTGAACGCTCTCGGCGCCCGCACCTTGCGGTGATTTTCTGCAGTGGCTTCGGGTTTTAAGGAGGATGGAGGGAGGGAGGAAGATGCGATGGGGGGGAGGGGGGGGGGGACGGTGGTGTGGAGGCATAGACGCCGGCAATACACACAAAATTCGTGACATGTAAGAATGTTTTTGTTTTCAGGTGGCTGGCTCACAGCCCTACGGTGGCTCGGGCGTAAATAGTCTCTTGCGATCATTGTTAGGACGTGGTGCGTACTACATGCGCGCGGTTGGACAAAATGTGGGACTGCTTTGGCATACTAAAATCAATAGCCTGGCCTAGCGTAAAGTCCCTTGTAACGCACACGTCTCGGATCGGTCCTGAACGACCCATGTCTTGGTGATGTCCCTGTGTGGCCGTGGTGGTAGCTGTCGCGTGATGGTTCCGAGGTCCACAACGTGGTATGTCGATCCGACCGCCATCTTTCTCACACACGCACTTTTGGTTTTTCTCTTTAAGTTTATTCCTAAAAAAAACAGATGGCACTTTTGGTACAACGAGTGAATTATGGTGAATGTGGGATTTACATAACGTGGCCGAAAGCTTGCCGACATAGCCGTAGAGTGGCACGTACCATAGTAGGCACGCACGAGATGTGCTCAAGCGTCAGGGAGGTTGTTGCCTCGCTCGAGGTGCACCATTCTTGGTCAGGCGGGCAGGAGGATAAATGTCTGAGGATGTCGAGAACAGGAGTGTGCATGACAAGAGCAGTACGTTTGGAGGGCGGTTGTTGTCGGCAGCATTGCCTCGTGTGCTACGCGTGACCCTTCGGGGCGGGGGCGGGGGCGTGTACTCATAGTCGCGCATGCCGTAGTCGTTAGACCATTGGCCTCGCATCGTGACCCTTCGGGGGGGGGGTATTTCTCCCTTGCTGGCGATCGGCCTGTTGGACGAACACTCTCGTCAGCGTTTGAGTGGTTGTTGGCGTTGGTTTTTCGGCGTCGGTGTCGTCGTCGTCGTCGTCATCGTCCAACGAGCCCGTGGTTTGCGTGCTTCCGATGTGTCTGTTGAGGAAATGCTGGGAAGGACAAGACGACGGACAGTGTTGAAAACAGGAAAGCCTTCCTACAGACATGAAGAGTTTGTGAGGCGTGCGGGCCGGCGTCAAACACCACTCGCTTCTCTTCGACGGGCTTGTTTGGGTGTATACCCTCTAAGGGCATGATTTTCATAGCGCGTGATTTAGTTAGGACGAGTCTGTAGCGTGTTGGAGCAGCGCGAGTGGTGCACGGCTTTGGTTGTGTGAACACGAAACACGGAGTCTTGTGTGCTTTGGTGACAGAAGTAATGTGGGGCACGCTTTGGAAGCGTTTTCCCCAAGCTCAATATTTTGTCTACAAGACTTGTGTGTTGTGGTCGGGATTCTGTGTAGCTTTCTAGCGCAGGAAATGGGCGTTGCGTTTCGAACCTTTTGGGAATGCACTTCTTGAAGGATGTTCGCGTTGCGTTGCTGCTGCTTTCTTAGGCTGGGGCGCGCGCTTTGGAAGCGTTGCGTCCGCCGACCGACACGCAGTGATGCCGTCGATGGTGGTACCAAGTGGGTATCTGATACATGTTTTTTTTTTTTCTTGTCGGTGGTAGTGTTCCACTCTGCAAAATTAACGAAGTGTACCATTTCTGGTAAGCCAGGTATAATAAAAAAACAAAGTAAAGAGCACGCGTGCAGTCAAGTAGTATGTTCCTGGTACCAGACATTCTCTCGTGTATAGGTGGTTTGATGGTGTGGTGTTTTGTCGACGATTAATTTGTTCTTTTTTTCGTGGAAGCTGTTGAAGTATTCTGAATCTGGGCTGTTGGATTGCTTTTTCCCCCCTTCGCCATAGATCAGCGATGGGTTGCGGAGCTAGCGGGGGACTTGAGGAGGAGAGATAAACGGCAATGGCGGGGGGAGGGGGGGGGCGACTTGCGCGCCGCGGCTGTGATACGATGATCGCGGTGGAAACTCAAACGTAAAGACAACGAGACGAGCGCCGAGCGCGCTAATTAATAAGGAGGCCTTCTTGTAGCACAGGAAAAAACCTGCCCCGCATGGCGTCACACTCTACGGAGAGACCATTCCCGTGTTGTTTCCTGGGGTGCAGGTGTCCGTTTCTCAAAAAAAAAACTTCGAAAGACATACACTGGCGACAAACAGCATCGAGTGTCAGATCCAGCGAAGCGTGCAACAATACCTGCACCATTGCTTGTCTTGAATCGAAGTCTAGAACCGCTCGCCCTAATGTAGTGCAGTGAGGGGTCCCTGCATAGTGCCGGTATGTGCCCAGAAAATTCACTGGCACTAGCGTATACCGGACACCGGCACCACTCAAAGTACTGACAATGACTTGGAAATTCAGCGTGTGCCCGTCGAAAACACTGCCACTAGTATTGCTGTACATCGATTGCGGTGTGGCACACGGGCTGAGGCCCAGCTCTCAACGCAAAATGCGCCCATGGGCGCTTTTTCTTGGTTTTCTTACCCGTTCCGAGACCAACAAGATTCGCTTCTGCGCCCAAACATACCGCACAGAGCACGCCGCCGAGCATGTTCTGCGCAGCCTCTTCACCACTTGCCTTGCACATGGTTTTGGCTACCTCTTCGCCTCCTCCGATGCATCACCCCACTCACAAACGTACGTCAACATTCAGTAGGGTTAGTCGCTGGTGGGGCTGGGCCACTGCATGTCCATCAACGCGTCTACTGTACCTCCAAAATACGTATTTTGCAGGAGAAGACGAGTATTTGTATGTGTGTGTGTGCCCGTGCAGGCGAGTCTACGCCCGCTAAGTCTCAACCAACTCTAACCCACCACCACCGCCAACAATGTCAATCTCCGAAAATGAGAAGCTGTCGCCAACGCCCCAAACGGGCTGATGTCATATCTGAGGTGAAACAGTACGACTGCCAAGCAATTCCACCCCCACTCCATTTCTTAGCATCGAGTTGGGCACCACAACCCATGCCAATCGTCTAACATCGTCGCCATGCAAGTTGGGCGCAACAACCGACGGTACGGAGACCTGACAACCACTTACTCAGCAGCGTAGGATACGAACTGCAGGCTGTGCGCTCAGGCCCAGGCTGCGCTGAGATGTTGACTCCATCACACACGCATACTGTACGTCGATCGTGATAATTTTTTTTACTATTTTGGCTTTGCCGACATGAAGCCGCTGCTGGAGTCGAACCACTTCTTGTTGGCCGCCATGACCTTCTTCTCTTTGTCCGCGTTCGGGTTCACCAACTCCAGCCCCTGTTTCGGGCATGACCACAAAGAAGGGGGAAGGGGGAAAAAAAAAGAAGAAGGTAAACCGGGTGAACGCCGCCGTTGTTTTACAAACCAAAAACGAGGAACAATGAACGTTCTTGCTTGGGACGTTCACGTGAACAGCTGAAACATGTGACCAAATTGCAGAGCACGATGATTGTCGAAAGAGGCAAAGTCGGGCGTATCGCGGACAAAAATCATGTCGCAACTATATACTTCTAATGGCGCCGCCTGGTTATTACACGTCCTAACAAATATTTCTGGCGAAGGCGCGTCTCACGAGAACTGTACGCGCTGCGTCCTGCATGATCAACTACCGCCGCCGAAACGCACAAGAAATCACGCCCGTCACCTTGCGCCATTCAACACACCTTGCTGAAGACGGCAACACTTGTAAGAACCACGGTGGGGGGCATACAATGCTTGGTGTTTGTTTCTTGTGGCAAAACAAAAACAAAAACAGCAGAGTGTCGATGAAGCGAAATAAATACTGTGTAAAGCGCGTGCTGTAACGCACCTGGATGGGGGTGAAGACGAGACTCGAGTTGAGCCCGTTAGTCTGGCCGGAGCTGAGGTTGGCCACCTTGAGCTTCTTGCTGACGTTTTGCTTCATCTCCTTCTTCATCGGGGCTCGGACTCGCCCGCTACCGGACTTGCCTGCAACGATTAAAAAAAAAAGTGCAAAAGTTAGGGCAAGTGACGATGGGAACAAAGGAGAAAAAAGGTAGACAGGTGTCAGTAGAAAAGTGGCCTTTGCTTGTTCCATCACCGTCACCGGACTTGCCTGCAACAATGATGCAAAACAAACAAGTACAAACGTCAGAGTACCAAGTGCTGTGACCTATTGCTGATATGTACGATCACCAAATTACCTACCCACCATTTACGTGAATGCAATGTTGTTTCCGTGGTTTCACGGCGCACAAAAAGTAAGTTTCCTCTCTCTCTCTCTCTCTCTCTCTCTCTCTCTCTCTCTCTCTCTCTCTCTCTCTCTCTCTCTCTCTCTCTCTCTCTCTCTCTCTCTCTCTCTCTCTCTCCCTCTCCCTCTGTCACTCTGTCACTCTGTCACTCACCTAGCATACCGTAGTCCTTCCCCATGGCGGTGTCGCTGTACTCGTCCGCCATCGAGGCGAAGCCCATCCGGTTGGCCTCCTTCCGGACGTCGGTCATGGCGAACTTCTGCTTGAACGATCGCACCCTGTGTTACAAAGAAAAGTAACGTAGCCAAGAGCATGTTCAGGGTGTTGGGGGTCAAACGAGCGTCCGCAAAACGGAACAAAGGGCGTGCTTCTACTCTGACGGTCGGAACCCGAAAGAAGCAAGAAGCACGACTGGGAAAATACCTCCAAAACAAATCGGACGAAAAAAAAAGCATTAGCGAAAGCGTTCCTCTTGCGACATTCCTCTTGCGACAACAACAAAAAAGGCGGACAGTC